TTTTGTGGATAGGCCTGCCTCTCAGGTAGTTAAGGTTCAGGTCTCACAGGTACATACACTCCAAAGGAAACAAATAGCTTCTACCTAAGTAAGGGTCAAAGCTTGCCTTGATTTCTGATCCCCAGAGCCACTACAGCTAATTCCCTTGTCCCTCAGATCTTAGACCAGTCTCTTTCAATTATAAGACCATGCCATGGCCAATGCCTTCCACTCTAGGGACACTGCTAAACTGATCCTACTACCTGTCTGCTGTTTTGTGGCTCTGACCTATCTTTGCCTAGAAGTCATGCCTACCCTGCTTCTACCATCCCTTGTTCCAGAAGACTCCTCAGGAACCTACCTAGGCTCACAGCAGTAAACATCACCAGGGTTAGAGCATTAGTATACACCTTGGGCAAGGACCTGAAAATAATTAGAGCCTAACTCAAACAAGAACCTTCTGAGGGACTTTTGAAATAGAGAATTATCAAGTCCCCTTACACAGAGACATAGGTACAAACAGTTCCATTCTAGGACACTCACATCAACAAGCGAATTATTCTCTTTAGAAAGACACAGCAGGGCAGAGACTGATGTATGAACATCTTAAAAGGGTGCAAGTCTTCAAGGCAGAGAGTTGATCACCACTAGGGGGCCCTAGACAGAGAAGAAGTAATGCTCAACTTTGAACCCTTCCCCAACACTGACAAGATCACAAGGGTCACTAATGTTCTTTCTTCATCACAATGATGAGATAGATGGGACTATCGTACAAATATGGAAGAGTTTTTATATAAGGATTCCCTCCTGACTCCAGATAAGCTCTACTGAATCTAAATCCCCAAAGCCTTTGTCATCAGGTGGTTTGGGAACGACTAAATGTCCCATCTTAATGAAACATCTAGGTATGTCTGTAAGATGTCCAGAAAGAATAAAGAGAATCAATGGCATCAAACTTGGGCAAGACAAACCAGCAGAGAAGCAAGATAGGCCTTGAACAAGAGGCAATAAATGCAGAAAGTCTGTATCCCCAAGGGGTGGCAGTGTAGGAAACATAAATTGATTCCAAGCAAAGCCAGGCAGATTTACAGGGGTCAGAGCTATCTGCAAGAACAGGGACCACCATCTTGCTCCAAAGGCTGCTGGGAGCAGCAAAATTCTGGCTGGATGAATCATGAGTCTGACCTGGGATGGCAAATCCTCTATTCCCATGGAATCCACTTTAGAAAAAGTTTCCTCTCTGGACCTTTCCATCACAAATTGCTGAAAGTAAAAACAAAATTTTGTGTATGGAAACCACCTGAGACTAATACATGTCCATTGAGTTTGGAAAAATACTGGTGCCTCTGTTGAGAAATGGCCCTAGAGTCGCTCCTTACTGGAATGGGAGCATAAATCTTGAGGATGGGTGTCTGATCCCCACAGTGAGGAACTGAACACGGAAGTACCACATGGTTTGTAACTGTCTTCAATGTATCCCTCTACTGTTACATGCTATGATAAGCACTTGGCTTAGGTTAGTATTTTAATTTCCATTGGAAATCTAAGCAGTAAGTAGTATAATCTCCATTTGTTCAGATTAGAAAAATCAAGGCTCAGACAGGTCATGTAATCTAACCCAGGTCTTCTGAAACCATGTCTATTTGCAACTCTCTTAGCCTGAGAAGTTGTGACATGACCTTGGGAAAATAGATATAAAATGGGTATAATATATCAAGCATTTATTGATAATAAGTCACAAAGAAATTTATTTCAAAACAAATCTTTGATATACATATAATGTTAACAATTATAAAAGAGGGAAGTAAATTTGCATACTAATGATAAATATGCTTGTTTGTCCAACACAATGCAATCCTAAGATATATCAGTTTCAACTCCACGTGCTGAAGAATTTTGGCATGAAAACTATTAAAGTTCTGTTTATGATAATTTAACTATTCTGTTTTATAAGAGGAAATTTTGTACGTGTAGTAAAGATGCTGCAACTCACAACGTACAATGGTCTCAAGTATGAGCTTTGATATTTCAAGGCAGCATTTGTTGGCATTGTGTGATGTGATGGCACACAAAGTGTGTGTGTGTGTGTGTGTGTGTGTGTGTGTGTGTGTGTGTGTGTGTAATCAAGACAACAATAAAGTCACAGGATACAACATTGATGAACACTGCCAGAAACATTTCAAATTCATTATGTGTTTGAGTTTGAATGAATTTTAGTCATTGTACCTTCATAAACCTTCTACTGTTGCCAAATTTTTCACAACCTACATGTTCTGTTACATGACCTCATATGGTCATGGTCAAGGTCCCCAACTAAGATGCTTTAATTTCATCCAGGTCTCACAGTTATCCAGGGACAAAGTTCAGAATGAGAAACTTTGGCCCATGTGAATCCAAAGCTCATAATCCTCTCCCTACCTCATCAGACATTGCAGCTGAAATGTCTCAAAACCTCTGAACCCTCTAGTTACATAGGCTGAAGTTAAAGAGGATTCTACCCAAGGCTAGGTGCTCAAGCAAGGTGCAGATGTTATGTCCTGAGCTGAATTAACTAAAGAAAGCACCATTCATCTGTGGACAGGCTGGGAAAGCTTCTCCACATCCAAGCTGTTTGCCACAGACATGGGCTGTCTGCAGAATGGGCTTCCAGCTAGATGTAACAGAAAGGTGGGACTTTCAACTTCATTTCTTCATTTTGTGTTTTATTCTCTGCCCCAGCTTCATGCTCAGCTCACTGAGTTCAAGTTCCCAGATGTTTGTAGACATGGGATTTATAGTCATAGAAACTCCCCTGGATACCTGGATACATTCTCCATTGTCAGTGACAAGATCAGCCTTAGACACAGGCAGGACCTGTTGATACAGCTCCTATTTGTGGAGTTTGGGACTCTACCATGATCTTTATAACTCCCTGCTACTTTTAGCATGCCCACTAGCCCCTTTCACAGACAACAGAACTAGATCAAGGTCTCATGAACCATCATTGATGAAGGGTCATTCCCCCCAAACCAGGTGTTCTTGAAGATGTCAAAGCCCATGGTCTTTCCACCTCACTCCTCTACATATGTCATTTTGGCATTGGAACAGGTAAAGAGACAAATTCTGCCAAAATACCTTTTGTAAACAGAACATAGTGAAGCAAGTTCATTCTCTTAGCACTGAGGCAGAATATTGCCCTGAATTTGAGCCAGCCTGAGTTTTCTACAATGAGACCCTGCCTCAAACAGACGAGCTGACAAACAAGAAACTAGAACCTTCCATAAAGAGTTAGCCCTTTGAGTTAACAATTTGATCAGCTAGCTCACCATCAGCCAATAGGCTCCTTTTTCCCTAAACCTTGAAGTGACCTTCAGAAACCACGTGGATGTCAGCCTTCCCATTTAATGTGTATGCATCAGAATCCCACTGGAACTTCAGACCTCAAGGCCAGGGTCCTATCACAAAAGTAAATCAAGGCTGGCTGAGGCTTCAGACCTGCCAAGGTGACCTCTGTCTGACTGTCAAATGGGCCTCTTACATTTTCATCATCAAATTAGTTCAAAGCCTTCAATAAATTTTCTTTTGAATGTTTTAGTGATGGTGCTACATACACTCAAATTAATTTTCCAACATTTTCTGTGCACAGAATTTGACTCAATCTCTCTTTAAAAGGAGAAATAATTTGGGTCATCTGAAAATGAGATTTATTTTTAAGTAGAAGCTTATTTACAAGAATACAGTTCTTAACACTTTTATGAGCTGTAAAAGGTGTTAGATTTGCGGCCAAGAGATCTGACAGATCTCCAAGACTGAGCCTGGCTAAAAGAGAGGACTTTGAAAGTAAATGTGCCGGTAGTAGAAGATGAGGTGGCAAGTAGGGTTTCAGTTGTGTTCCCGTGATGTCCCTAGAAAGCTACATAAGGACACTGGACAAGGACAGACCACAGTAGGGAGTAGATGGGGGCCTGGGAAAAGGAAGAGAGTTTAACAAGTCTGACTAGGGAGGTGGTTCAGTCAATGAACTGCTTGCTGTGTAAGCATAGGGGCCTGAATTCAATCTCCAGGCCCTACATAAAAAATCCAGGCACGCCCTTGTAATTCCAGCATGGGATAGGCAGAGACAACATCTTAGGGCCTGGTGGCCAGCCAGTATAGCCTAACTGGTAAGCAACAGTCCAATGAGAGACCCTGTGTAAAAGGCAGTGGATGAGGATGATACTCAGGGTTTTCCTCTATCCTCTGCATATACCCTCACATATGGGCACATACAGATGCATTAAAAGATTGGGAGTTTTTCTCCATTCTTGACACTGTCTATTGTAGAAAGAAATTAAAAGCCACTCATTGCATTTCCAAACTGGCTTAGTGGGCATAATCAGGCTTTTGGCTTGCCCCATTGAGGGCCTGTTGCAAGAAAGCATCTCTTACATGACCAGAGAGCTTGAGGCTTCCTATTCCTACCTGCAGGGTTCCTGAGTCAAGTGTGGGGTCACAGGGCTGATGCTGTATCCAGTTTGCTCTTTCTAGCCACACACGGCCACAGGGTTCGATGATGTTCATGCAAACCTTTAGTAACAGGTTAGATGAAGTCACAGTGTCATAGCTTAAGTATCTGGGGCTTGCCCAGCACCACGTGGGATACAGTGAGAGAGCAGGAGAATACTCAGCCATTGCCTGTGCCTGTTGGTCTTGAATGGGGATGCCACTCCCTCTCCGTAAGAGAACGGTGCTACGGTTCTAGAAGTATCTTCCTATGGTCCCCCACTTGCTATCCTGTATTGTGGTTGGTTGCATCCTTCTTGATCTAAGTCTTCTCCCATCTTCATCTCTTCCCCAGTACATGGCCCAGGTTCTGGCCCAAGTAGCCTCCCTTCAGGACTATCTAGTTTGAATGGCTGGTGGTATTTTCTTCCCACAATCTTGGTGCCTTCTCTGAATTTATACCTCAAGCCTTGGAGCAGACTCCTTGGAGACATCCCAGGGAGGCCTGTGGAAGAGGGAGATCCAGGAAGTAACTGACTGCCTCTCCTTTTGTGTCACAGTTCACTGGCTGTTCACCACCTGTGGGGCCAGTGGACCCCATGGCCCCACACAGGCCCAGTGCAACAACGCCTACCAGAACTCCAACTTGAGTGTGGTGGTGGGGAGCGAAGGGCCCTTGAGGGGCATCCAGATTTGGAAAGTGCCAGCTACTGACACCTACAGGTATGTATAGCAATAGACCAGCTCCCTAGAAGGAGACTCAAGTCCTACCTGGGTGTGTGTGTCCCTGGGAACCCAAGCATGCCAAGGGCCACAGACGCTGGCCCATTACTGGGATATAATGACTGAGGGTAGACTGTGGCAACAAAGATGTCTTTTGTCTTCAAAAAAAAAAACTCAAAGACTATTAGTGGAAAAGATAAACATATGAGCTAGTTCAGAATTATTACTAATTATAATTAGGATGGGCATAGGAAGCTCATGATAGAAGTATCCAGTCTGATCCATTTGTGTAGCACATGTGTGTGGGGGGGGTTGTTACATGTTCACATGCATCTGAAGTTTGCTGGCACCATGCTGGTCCTGAGAATGCTTTCCACTTTATTTTTGAGACAGTTTCTCACAGAGCCTCATGTTCACTGAATGGCTAGGCTGGCTGGCTATCTAGTGAGTTTGGGGTTTCCTCCTGTAATTCCAGTGCTCCAGGGGTCTGCCTGTTTCCATTCCCACAGCACAAGGGTTTCAAGAATGCCTGGTTTTTTCATGTGGATGATGGGAACCTATTGCTGTAAGTTCTTTGTCCTGACTGGTCCCGCCACCCTTCAGCCCCAAATGAACACTCGGATGATATATTAATTATTAAACTGTTGGATGGTGGCTAGGGATTCTTATTGGCTATCTCTGTCTTAATGATTAACCCATTTCTATTAATCTAAGTATTTCCAAGTTGTCTTATCTTACCGGAGAACTCCTTGTGCGTCCTTTCTTCCAGGTCCTTACATGGTGACTGTTCTGGTGTGCCCTCTCTGCCTACCTTTCTCAGAATTCTCCTCATCTCCTAGTCCCACCTAGCTTCCTGCCTTAATGTCCAACAGTGTTTTATTCATCACCCAATAAGAGAAGCATATATACAGAAGGAAATTCCCCCCCATCAGGAATCCAAACTAGTGTCTGGGTTGGACTGGGTCATCTCCCCAGCCTAAAAGCTAATGTTCTTTTCCTTTCTTGGCTCTTTCATTTTTGTGGGAAGCAAACCACTCTTGAAGTTTGTCTTCAGCCCATCCCAGCCTCACAATTTCCCACCAGACCAGGCAATTCCACTGTGCCACCTTGAGTCCATGGTACCAAGCAAAGGTAATAGTGAGATAGCAGGGCTGGTTAATAGCCAGGTTTCAAGGGTCTACCTCTGTAGGCAGACTTGGGTGCTAAAGTGTGAATTCCACAAAGTTCCCAGGTGGAGCTGATACATCCTGTGAGAAACACTGAGTTGCACCAAACCCTGGTCTGAAGTATGTCTGTGTGTCCTCGGGAGGACTCTATGATGGAGGCAAGACCAGTTGCTGGAGGCCTCATTTCAGAAAGGAGAGAAAAAAGGCTCAGAAGAGTCTCCTGACCTCAACAGTTACAGTCCAGAAACACCCCAGCCTCAGACACCTGGGGTGAATATGGCCTGGCTGAAGCTCCCTCCTTCCACCCAGCCCTGCCCAGCTGTGCTAAGAAGAGCATCACTGGAGCTGGTGTAGATGTTCCTTGTGGCTCTCAGAGCATCCCCCACCCCCGACTCTAAGGAAACTTCTCAAGTTGCCCTGTTTTCCCCTAGTGTGTTTTGAGTTATCCCCACCCCCTAGGTGCTTTTTAAGGGTTATTCTAGGCAAGGATGTGAGAAAGTTCCATCCCTGCCCACCACCCATAAATGTCCTAAAGATTCCAGCCATCCTTCCATGCTACACCAAGCAAACCAGACCTCCCAGCAGAACCTCCATGCACAACAGGGGGAAGGGGACAGAGCTAGCTGAGGACCTATCAGGTCCTATCAGGTCTCGTGCCTTGAGCAGTGAGGTGAATAGCACTGCTGTTGTTATTACTAGGAATCTTCATAGGAAAGAAATAGAATCAGAGGCGCTCCCAGCCCAGAGCAAATCCAAAGCCATACTAAGAACCACTTGTCACCCACAAAGGTCACCTTCAGGACATGCCTTGTTCTTTAGGCTTCACTTCCCCCAAGGCGTTGTGAATCATGCCCACTTCCAGATGTACAGAGGTTATGGAATCTCTTCCCCCATATTCTATTTCCTCTCCGTCTGAGGTAAGACTTGCTGATACCTGCAGGTGCTCATCACGGTGTGTGTGTGTGTGTGTGTGTGTGTGTGTGTGTGTGTGTGTGTGTGTGCGCGCGCGCGCGCGCAGAGAGGGGGTGTGCATGCACTAGGGGTTTACTAGCCTTTGGGCAGAGAAATCAGCTGGAGAAACAGGAGTAGCTGATGGCAGAATTTCTAAGAATAAATGGGTCTCACGTTCATCTGTTCCCACTTTTCTGTCTGAGGACTTTGTTCTGACTTCTTCAGACCTGCCCTAAGATTTAGAAGATTTGGCTAGCCAGCCCAACTACACTTATTAAATAATAATAAATTCGTTTGGCCATTAATTATTAATCACAACCTATCTAATTCTAGTGGGGTTCTGATCTGTATGAAGCACACAGTCTTAGCACACTGTGTTGATGGAACAGCTGCCCAGATCAGATAGCTGTTTGCATGTGCCTTGGCAGAGGATATACTAGCCAGAGCCTTGTCTGGCCATTGCCTTCCTGGACGCATATGCAATACACTTTGAAGTGGTCAAGTTAGTAAAGAGAAAGTTTTAATCTGGCCATATTAAAATGGGAAATCAAAACAAAACAGAAAGGGAAGTTGAATTTTTGTCTTTGTTGCTGTTGGATGCTAGAGCTCAGCTCTAACGCATATCCCCGCCCCTCGCCTCATTCTTCATCCCAGATGATACTCAGGACTTTGATGACAATTGCTATAATGCTTATATTAACTTCTTAACCTACATAGACAGCTAGTGGTTTGCTTTTTATATTATGTCAAAGTGTCTTCAAGTCTAGCGTGTGTGAGGCCATGGGCTCCATCCCCAAGATGAAAAGACAAGAAAGAAGGGAAGGAAGAGGGTGATAGGGGAGAAAAATGGAAGGGGGGAGAGAAGGGGAGAGATGGGAGGGTGTCCTTTAAACTGTGTAGATCCCTGAGGAAGGCTCAGTGATGGACACACACACACACACACACACACACACACACACACACACACATCATATAAGTCAACATTTCACATAGGGAATTTTCTGCCCTCTTCTGGTGGACTTTTTCTCCTGAGTACTTATTATTTAATTAGTCCAGTTATTCTGAGAAGAAAACACGGGGTATTCCAGGAGACTTGAGGTAGAAAGACAAAGGTTGAAATCCTTTGCCTTGCAAAATCCATCTCTCCTGGAGTGTGGTGCCCACTTAGTACTGTCTGGCTGCTACTTGATGCCTGATGCGATGATGGTCCCACTGGTCAGGGGGTTGAAATGGGGGCTGACACTGGCCACCAGCTGTGTGCCAAGGTGAGGCCTCCATCCCTGAGGCTGCCTCAGAAATGTATACAGTTGAAAGGGCCTCCTCTCAACTCACTTTTTGTTTTGTCCCATTCTGTTTTATACCTAGAGATTGAACCTAGAGTCTTGTGCATGCTAGGCAAACTAAATTTTTACTTTTTATTTTGAACCAGGATTCACTCAGTTTCCCAGGCTGGTATTGAACTTGCCAACCTCTTCAGTCTGAGCTTCCCAAGAAGCTGGAATCACAGGCTTCTACCACCACGCCTGGCTTTCCCTGACTCTAAATCATATTTTATCCTGGGCTATCTCCTTTGTGGAAGACAGCCACAAGAGAAAAAGAAAGGAAGCTGGGAAGAGGCAAGGGACAGGATCCTATAACATGCCCCTCACTTCGTCATTACACAGGAGCAAGGAAAATACCTGGAGGTCCCAGGGCTAGAGTCTCTCCTTCCAGGTGCCTTTTTATACTCCCTGGTGACAATAGAGGGTAGAAGTGAGAGGCAGGTAGAAAGTGACTGTCATCCAGGAAAGTGTCAAAGGGGTACAAACTTGGGCAGGAGACATGGGCATGACAATGATGGGCTAATCCAAGACGGGCTTGGAAGGCGGGGTAGGAAGGATGTGTGAGCAGTGAAGCTGGATGGGGAGGGGTTAAAGGATCAAGGACCATGGATGGTAGCCGCTCTCCTACGACGGATGAGGGCTGGGGACGGTGGGAAGGCTCCGCTTATACAGAGCTTTGTGGACATGACTGTGCAACAGTGCCTTCTGACGTGTCCCCAGTGGGGAGCTGCAGTGGCTGAAAGTGGAAGACCACTGGGGTTGGGCGGGGGAGACACAAGAGAAGCATGAAGTTGTACTGGGCAGAGGACAAGAGCCTTAGCCTAATCATAAATGGAGACGGAGCACAATTCTGAGATGGGGGGGGAGCATGAGAATGTGTGAGGGGAGGGGAGGGTGTGAGCAGTGTGAACAAGGAAGTCGGATGTGGAGGGGTTAAGGAATCTAGCACACCGAGTCAGCAGTCAACAGAAAGCAGGCACGGCCCAGCTTACTCTCTGACTCCCTGTTCAATCCCTCTCGCAACTCCAGCCTCCTTTCCATCTTCCTCCGTCCCTCTCTGGGGACTCTGCATCCTTCCCCACCCTCACCCCCCTCACATATACTCAAAGCTGACATTTAAATCATTTACCATAGCTCCTGATATCAGTTCACTCCCGGTTCACATCCTCTTCAGGAGGCCTCAGATCTCAGGTAGAGTGGGACGACCTGGCCACAGCTGTTTCTGATGGTCTCCATCAATGGCACTCATTTCCTCACCTGGCTCCAGGGACCAGTGTGCACAGCTGGATAGCATAATTCAACCAAGTCACAGCCAGCCAGGAGACCTTTCTGAGGGCCTTGCTGAGCTGTGGGACCACTCCTGTGTAACCAGCACTAAGTAACCTAGTGGGGCCATACTGTGAGCCCAGCACTGAGCTGCAGAGCTCCCACTATGTGTCAGACTCTAAATCATGTGCCCAACACTGAGATATGAAGCTCCTACTATGTGTCTAGCGGTGAGTATGTATTTCAGGACTCATAGTGAAGACTGAGACTCCAGAGCCTCACAATCTCTGGGAAGAGCGTCAACGGGCAGGAATTCAATAACAGTCTACAATGCCAATCAAGTTCTAGACAACAGTAGGAGAGATGTCACAGGCATGATGAATTGCTAGAGTAATTGTGCAGATAGTCATCGCACAGAGCAGGGAAAGTCAGAGGTGGGGGATTAGGCAAAGATCAATGAGCTGCAAGAAGAATGGAGTTTGGGTCCAACTTCCACCACCCACCAGCCGATATGACCTTGAAGTTGTCTTCCCTTCTCTCAAAGGACAAGTCCATCTGCAACATAAAGGGTTTTAGAGAGAGCCATTTTGTTGGCACATAGAGTTATGCAGGCCAGGTGTGTTGAAGGAAGAAATGGACAGCACACCACCAAGGTGCCCACACTCCAAGGTGCAATTGACCCCTTCCACACTGCCCCCAGGGTGCACCCATGCACATAACATTATCAGAAAGTTCCTGCTGCTGGCCATGCCCTCGTATGTTCTTCCAGTAATCCTGTAAGCTGCGTGGGCTGGATCTGACCATCCCCATTTCATAGAGGAGGAATTCATTGGGGGAGACACTCATCTATGGTCTTACCCCAAGCTAGAGGCAGAGCCCAGGATGGAGTGTGGGTCTGTTACACATCTGGAGAGGGCTATGGGTGACGAACGAGATGCTTCTGTGTTTCTCTGAGGGGAGGTCCCCTCGCCATCTTTTCTCCAGCACCCCTCCTATGTAGGTACCACCACTGCCAATATTCCTGAGACCCAGCTGTGCTGTCAGTTCAGAATCCAGCAGGCAGCCACTTTGATCTGCTACTAATTCTTTATTTAAAAAAGATTCACAACTCAATTACACCAGGTAACAATAGCTCACAGTCAATAATACAAAACAAAAACCCAGTAAAAATCCCATCTGACCAGGGGACATGGATTTAGATGAGGAAAAACAAAGAAATTACAGCATCAACTCGTTCAAAGTACTAGCTTGCAATTTCCAGTAAATTGGAATCACTATGAGTCATTTTCCCCACTTGAGTGGCAGGTATATTAATTTCTCATCATTTGTCAACCATCAAAAGTAAATTGTTTACCGGGTTTGGGGAGAGCATGTCAGAGACTGGGACTGTGTAATTATTCTGGAGTGTTTTGGCATGGTGTGATTCAGAATCCAGGCTACAGCCGCATGGAACCAACATGTGCTTTATCAGCTCAGTCCAGAGGAGGGTCCCAAGTGAAACTGAGAATGACTGGACCTGGGACCCCCAGCTATACCCTGATCTACCTAGTGCCCCATTCTCATTTGTTCATTCCCTTCTGCCTCCCTGAAGCCTCACCTAAGAAGAGCACAGACTGTCAGGGGCATGCTCTCACGGTCTCTGCACGCACAGCTCGCTCATTGACTGACCTCCAGCAGTCAGTTAGAGCCCATCTAGGCATTATCTCTTTTAATTCTCACCATCATCTTTCAAGGCAGTATTATTATCCCCTTTTATATTACCAAGGGACCCAGAGAGGAAAGACAGTCTACCCAAGGTCACACGGCTCTTGAGTAAGACCAATAAAGCCAGGACAAGAAAGCCAAAGGCAAGACCATGAACTTGAAGGAGGCAGTGACTTGGTGTCATCCAATGCAGGGTCAGCACCTAAAAGGAGGGACTGCACTGTCTAGGTAATCCCTGCCCTGAGGAGCTAAACTGAGATTGGCAGGCCCTGGTACTTCTCACACATCACTCTGAGGCAGGACCAGACTTAAGAAAGTTGAGCTCTGCAGTTTCAGGCTTTAGGGGAAGGAGGAAGGGAACCACACCCTCCCAAGACCTCAGCAATCCCCTAAACAGTGAGTCCATAACCCAAGGTGGAAATGTGTGGCTGAGGCCACCATCAGGAGTTAAGTCAGTGACACCTGGTGGTCAAGCTTTGCTATTGACTTTGGAGCCCCTGACTTGGCCTTCCTTGCCTTTTCCATAACATTTTTAATAAACCCACTATTTCTCCCCATCTATGATGAAGGGGCCCTTGCCTTCACTTTTTCCCTCAGTAGTAGGAGGTGAGGCTCCTATAAGTTAGCTGGGTTCACTCAGGTCACACAGCCAGGACTTCCAGGACTACAGCTAGTGTGTGGCTCTCAGCTCAGGGCTCTTGCCAGCCCACCCACCTTATTGCCAAGAATTGAGCTGAGATCCGGAGGGAGCTGGTGGAGTTTGGATTGCTGGAAGAACAGGAGAAATATGAAGACAGGCCTATTTGGGAGGGGTGGGGGAGAGACACGGAAGGAGTCAGGAACAAACAACTTCTGAAATATAATAATTTGGCTAAATTTAAACATGTGAAAGAGTTCAGAATGATTCATAATGCATGCAGATTGATGCAAATGACTATGTAAATGATGCAGAAAGGAATGAGCAGGGTGCAGCCTACCTCTCTGCAGCAAGCAGGATGGAGCAGGACAAGGACTTAGGTAGAAGTTTCCAAGCAAACCCCCATCTTGGGGTGGATATGAGAACTTTTCATGCAACTTCACCAAGCCTCAGAAATCATCTTTCAAGGCCAATATTATCATTATCTCCCTTTTTCATTGCCAAGAAACTGGGGCTCAAACTTCCCTCGGAGAAGGAAGGTGATCTGCCCAAGGTCACACAGCTATTGGGCTGGACCGACCTGGGGCCTCCATGAGCATTTCCATCCAGAGACTGCCCATCTCCGGAAGCCAGAAGCCATACTGCCCATCCCACAGCTCTCTCTTCACATTTCTCTTAGCTAAGTATTCTTCTCACCTCCAATGAGCTCCCCTTCTCCTCTGCCTTTTGTTGCCCTCATGCCTCTCTCTCTCTCTCTCTCTCTCTCTCTCTCTCTCTCTCTCTCTCTCTCTTTCATATGGGTTTTTTGTATATTGTAGCCTAGGCTAGCCTAAAACTATGTAGCTGAGGATGACCTTGAACTTCCTATTCTCTTGCCTCCACCTCCCAATTACAGATATATAACGATGTCTGGCTTTAGGCAGTGCTGGGGGTCAAACCTAGGGTGCATGTGTGCTAGACAAGCCTAACTACATCCCCAGGACACTCCTCTTGTCCATTTCTGCCCCCCCTCCCCCGTCATCTCCCCAATCCAGGATGGGTGTGTAAGTGTGTGCGGTCCCATGTGTGCATGCACATATATCATGTGCAGAGCTCAGAGAACACTGGGTGTCCCTGTTCTCTTGAGACAGGATTCCTTTCTGAGCCTAGAACTATGGGGACAGCCAAAAAGCCCCAGTGATCCTCCTATCTCCACCCACACACAGTGCTGTGGTTACAGGTGAGAACTGAAACTCAGGTCGTCACATTTGCACAACAAGCTGTCTTATCTGCTGAGCCATCTTCTCAACTCCCTCTTGTCCATTTATAATGTATCAAGAGTGTTTGGTTGAAGGTCAGAAGGAATTGACATGTACAAGTGTCTTCTTGTTACTCTCAGTTACTATTCATGTCCCTCCCAGCAGTACACGTGGGAGAGGAAGTGGCCTGTAGGAGAGGAAATGGTCTTAGTCCACCACTGGCCAGCTGTGTGAACTCCGTTTTCCCATCTGTCAAATGAGATTAATCACATCTACCATGTGCCAGCACACATTACAGCAGGCATATTGAGCATGCTCCCTTCCTGCCCCAAACCCACAACCTCACCTTCCCCACACTAGTCACACGGTGCCATTGGACATCAGAGAGGATCCCTGCCTCCTCACTTGTGATCACACAAGCTCTGACTCATACTCTACCCTTTTCTATTGTCTGAGAGTCCTCCCATCTGTCACCCCTACCACAAAGTCAACTTCAAACCTCCAATTCACCTGGTACCTTCAACCTCTGACACCTGTCTGTCTTCTGGCCCTCCTGGCTATGAGAGTCTGATGGACCATACTCTCCGTGGGAATTTGCAGCACCCATGCATCTCCACTACACTGTCTCTTTGCTTTCAACAACCATGTGCTTTTGAAAAGGAATATGAAGCTATTCTTCTATTAGGGAGGAGCCCTCCCTGAGCCCCTGGCAACCACTCTCCAGGGAGGCATTTGTTAGTGTTTGTCGGTTGGGATGCTGGCTGTCTTCAAGACATGCGGTTTCTCTGCTATCGTTCAAGAATTGAGTTTCTCCCCATCCTCGCTGGGCTCCTTCTCAGCCATCTCAGGGGTGTCGGATCTAATCCTACATCCCAGCACTCTGTTTTTATTTTCATCATGACCAGTTGTTTGTTGTCTGCACAGATTGGTCCACGAGGAGTTACTTTGGAATGGGATAAACAGTCTGGGTTCATAAGCTGGCTCTCCTCAGATGATGCTCCTTGTTTCTGGGCCCCAAGGAGAGAGTTTCAAACTTTGTACCAAGCCAGTTCCTGCTAACTTCTACCACCATTCACACCCATTAACAAGGAACACTTACTGAGTGCCTGGGGACTTCAAGGCTGAATTCCCTTATTGACCATAACACTTGTGGGATAAGAGATAGGGTCTTTTATTTTTCCAATCATATATAAGGAACAGGGGGGTTGTTTGTCTAGAGTTACATGACTCTTTTTGACTATGAGCTCGAAATCCCATCCCAAATGGGGTCTAGGTGTCAACATTTTCCCAAACCAGGCTCTCTCCTTATCTCATGCTTTTGCTCATCACCTCCATGACTGAGTAACATCTCCCTCCTGGTTGAACTCACGGAGCTGTGTGGACAGGAATTCTCAGACACAATGGGAGGTGCTTGGGCCCCTGAAAACCCATGGGTTGACAGGTGGCAGGGGGATCAGTCTCCCACCACAGCAGGAACCATGGTGTTTTGACCTGTTACAGCATCTCAGGCTATGGAGCAGCTGGTGGGAAAGGGGGGAAGAACACCATGATGCGGTCCCATGGAGTGTCTGTCCTGGGCATCTTCAACCTGGAGAAGGATGACACACTATACATCCTTGTCGGCCAGCAAGGGGAGGATGCCTGTCCCAGGGTAAGTGCCCAGAGCAGGGGCTTGTCCCAGCATCTGCTGGGTGGCCTCTTGGAGGACCGTGGGGAGGATCCCCAGTGATCCTTTTGGGGACTCACATTCAGAGTCTTCCACCAGCTCTACCTGTGAGTTCCCCTCCTTTCCTAGGGTCATTTGGGGCTTGTGGACACAGGGAATGTGGCCTATCGGAGTTTTATAATCCTAATGGAGCCATGGCTAAAGCTTGAGTTTCTTGAGTAACTTAAAGCCAAAGGTCTGAATCCTAAATTAACCAAAAGTGGATGTTCTCCACAGAAGTAGGAAAGGTAAATGCTCTGGCTGACACACTGTTGTATTGTACTTAATCATATTTATTCATAGTGAAGAAAATTTAAAAAGTTTACATTCACTCAGATATCAGATGTATGACCATAAGTAGGTGTACATAAAAATAGCAAAAAAAGAAAAATATTCTGAAAGATACAGCTGCAGTAGCTACACTTCTTGAGAGGAGACTGGACTGGGGGTGGCCAGCAAATAATGTCTGAAATTGTCACAAAAAGAATGTTCTCCGGTCTGGGAGTATTTGCCTAGCTTGCAGGAGGGTTTGTTTGTTTTCTTGCTTGCTTGCTTGTTTGGTTGGTTTTTCCTGGGCGTGGTGGAGCACACCTGTAATCCCAGCTCTTGAGGGATGGAAAGAAGGAGAATCAGATGTTGAAGGTCATCTTTGGCTGCATATGGAGTTTGAAGTCAACCTGGGACACATGGACACAAGAACCAATAACAAAAAAAAAGTAAAAGAAAGAAAGACTATCTTCATATGTTATTTATTTGTGTGATTAAAACTAAAACACTTAAAGCATAGAATAGACTGAGCCAGAATGCTGGTAGCCCATTTCCAATTAGTTAATTTTATGTCTTTACAAAAACCCTGCCAGAAACAATGTCTGGAAGGGAAAACATTCATTTTGGCTCATGGTTTCAAAGGGTCACAGTCCATCATCATGGAGAAGGCATGGAGGATTTCATAACAGCAGATCTGGAAACAGAGAGATAGAGGCAGGAGCCAGGGGCAAGTAAAACCTTCAAGGCCCCTCCTTAATGACCTGTTTTCCCAGCTAGGCCCCACCCCTAAACACTCAACAACCCCCAAAACAATACCCTCAACTGGGAAACAAACATTCAGAATATAACCCTTTGGGGGGCGTTTCAGGATTAAACTTTATGTTCCCATTTTGTAAATGAGGAGAGGAGGGACCACAGAGGTGAAGGGACTTACCCAATGCCACTCACAAAGTGGCCCAGAACTCTAGAGTGTTCGTTTGGGCTGCATCCTACACTTGTCTGAGCCTTCGTTTCTGTGACCTTCTTCCCATTTCCACTTAATATAACCCATCGCTGGACCAGCCTCTGTGATGGCAAAGACAGCCTGGCATTGCGTCTCTGACCCCACTGGGGTGTCTAACTGTCAAAAGAGAAGTCCAGCAGTAGGAGCTGAGAACACCCAGAGCAATCAAAAGTAACCCATAGAACAAGCCAGTGAGGGCTAACTAGATAGCAGCTATGGAAGCCCCAGACACCCCCAGTTGTCTGGCTCTTGCCTTGCCAGTGTTAGCGGGGTGGCAAGACTCTGGTGGTGCTGGCTATGCTGGCAGGGACTCAGGCCCCAGAAGGGCAGATTATCCTGCTTAGGTCAGGCCAATGCCTCCCCTGAAGCACAGCTTTGCTGGACCCCAGTGCCTGCCTAGCACAGCACCTTCTCCAAGAATTGTCCCAGCAGCCTGGGAGGACAGCCTGGGGAGCAGGGTCTACCAAGAAAGCAGTTCAGTTCCACAAAAGCAACTCAGATCCAAAGAGCCAGGTGATGGGCTGTGAGTTCAGGGGGCAGCAAGTTCACACACTTAAGCTTAGACTCCTGGTACCCTACTCCTCCTAGCGTTAACACGCCAGAGGACTGAGCCTGGCGGGTACAACCTCCCATCTGAGAAATGCCTCCACTCCAACTTTTATTTAGGAACCATAATCAGGATTTCGCAGGCTGTTATAATATATTAAGTCATTAAATTACAGGCTGCTGTAATTTTCACGGGAATTTATTGAGTGCTAATGTAATTCTTTCATCTAAGCAGAAAGATTGCATTGACTTCTGCAAGGGACTTTTAGTTGATTGGATTGTAATCAGTTATGTCTTTTCACAGGACTATGTCCTTTTTTTTAATTCAATTGTAATCTACTTGTTCCTCTAGGTTGCTGCACTTTATCATTCTTATTAATCAACATACTTGTTCTCAAACTTTGTGGATGCATAGGGAGCATTCCCAAGAAGGCAGGAGGCAGCCATCTCAGCTACGAGCAAAGGGGAGCACCCTCTGCTGGTCGGGGCAGGAATGCCATGCACACTCGGGCATGGGAAGATCGTAATGGGTTCTCCTGGGTCCTGTATACTCTCCCTGTGGGTCCTTAGGCGAGAAGGATATGCTGTCTTCACACATTATCTACACCTCCAGTTTTCACTAGAAATAAAATGAGAATGACATGAGCCCTAAGAACTAAGCTGCAGTAGCTGCCCTAACTGCAGGCCGGTGGGAGGCTCTCTACCTGGTGCTGGGCCATCCCAAGCTCCTAGTAGAGGAAGTCAGCTCCTGGAAAACACCCCTGTACACACACACACACACACACACACACACACAGAGAGAGAGAGAGAGAGAGAGAGAGAGAGAGAGAGACAGAGAGACAGAGAGAGAGACAGAGACAGAGAGAGATAGAGACAGAGACACACACAGAGAGAGAGGCAGAGACAGAGACAGAGACAGAGACAGACAAACACAGAGAAGTAGAGACAGAAGAGACAGGCAGGGAGATAGGCAGAGACAGAGACAGGGAGAACCTAGTTCCCACAAGACCTTGCCTCATAGCATTGGGGGTCTTAATCAGACTTCCTCCACAAAAGCTCCATTGGCATTTTAGAGTAGAATTTCTTCATGGCAGAGAGGGGGCCTGCCCCTTGTTGTGTATATGTTTAACAGAAACCCCATTCTTCCCCAGAAACAACCATCAAAACATGACTCCTGAAAAATATCAGCTGCCCCCTAGATGCCAAAGTCACTAACCTAATTGCCAAGCCCCATACTCTCACCCACCAAACACCAGGAAGGCCAGTACAGTCATACAGTCCTGTCTGTTCAAACTGATTCCACAAGCACGCATTGAGTCCCTGTGTGTGCCACACACCATTCTAGGAAACTGGGGCATTCACTGAATGAGGGAGATCCTTACACACGGGGAACTTCCCTTCCAGCAAGGAGAGGAGGAGCTGGCCAGGCCCGGTCCCTGAGGCGGGAGTGTGCCTGTGCACCTGAGGGGGGAAGGAGAGGAGCAAAGCGGGTAGCTAAGAGCTGAGGACAAAGGAAATGCACTGGACCAGGCCGCTGTAATGATACAGCCTCACAGCCAAATGGTGATATAGTGGGATGTGCCTCCCAAGTTTTGCCATGGCTGCATCATGAAGCTTGGATCTCACAGGGACAAGGAGTCAAGCACCAGATTCAAAGACTACTGCATTCATCCAGCCAGAGCTGCTGGGAGCTTGGACCAGTGTGGCCAAAATGGAGGTGGTGGGAAGTGATTGGATACAGGCATGTTTGGAATATAAAATTCAAAAGGGCCTCCTGCCTGATTATTTGAGGAATTGAGAGAAAGAAAGGTCAAGAGGGACTCCAAGGTTTGAACAGCTGCCGTCACCTGCCAGAGAATGCTCAGAAGGGGCAGCTTGGGGTGGGCTAATGCCTGCAATCCCAATAAGTGTGAGGTCAGCCTGAGCTAGGTAGTGAGTTCCAGGCTAGCCTCAATTACAAGTGAGACTGCTTCAAAAAAAAAAAACAACCCAGCAGATTTTGTGGCAAGGTCAGGAGGTCAAGGTCAAACACACTGACTGTGATGATCTAGTAGACAACAGGAGATGACAGGTGGGCAATACCAATAGACCACTGGGGTTTAGAAGAGTGGTCCAGGGAGGAAGATATCAGCCAGGATAAAGTTCAAGTGGGCTGGGGCTGCCTATGGTATAATACAAATAGTGAAGAGGAACCAAGGATGAGCCCTGTGTCCCCAGTGTTTAGAGATTAGAAGGAAAAAGAAGAGAAACTAACAAGGAGCAAGTGAGGTAGGAGGGACATGGGGCAGGCCGAGTCCTGGGAATCAGGAAAGTGCCCTGTTTCCACCAGAGGCTGCTGCTAAGCCACAGAGATGCTAGCCGAGAAGGGATCATTTCTTGGGCACCCTCTGCCCTGGTTTAAAGGGCTACATGGAAGACAAGCCATCCTTGGGCTCCACTGCTCTTGCCTGACACTGTATTCAAAGTCTCCAGAATCAGCCCTCTCAGAAAAAGGCATCCCCAGGATGTGGGGGTCACACTGCTGACTGCCAGAGGAGAGAAAGAGGGGGAGATGGGTGTGGAAGCGGGTCTTTGCAGCTCTGCTGGTGTCTCTAGACAGCCCTTTGATTTATAGGTGGAGGCAAGTCCGGGACCCTGAGATCCTCATGAAAGAACTGCTCAGCTGGCAGCCCCATGCTCTCCCCCTGCCCCCCAGCACCCAGCCTCAGGACATGCACCTTGCCGCCCATTCCTGTCCCAGCATTCTCCCTACAGCCCGGGGCATCACATACAGGAGAGAAATGTTTAGCTCTACCCAAGCAGTCCAGAACTTTCCATGCACACTAAATCCACTCTAAGAAATGTCAAATTATTTCCATCATTAAATCCAAAATGCCATAAAACAAATTGCATCTCGGCTGTTTATCTGGAAATTTCTCAAGTACCCACTGCCACACTCCTGAATACTTTAGCATAAGGAATGGCGCAAGATGGATTGCCGTGTCCACTGGCTGGTTCTGCAGCAGCGTTTGATGAAAATTTGATGTTTTATTGGCTTTTATTCCATTAAGTGAAAGGAAAGTAATTTTCTTCTGAGGTCAAGCTGGTGTTTAGAGACTTCATCTGAGCTGCATCAGCCAAGCCAGGTATGACTGTTCTTCAGACAGTAGGCTCTCCTCCCAGGATTCCAGGGTTTTGTGTTGCAGACATCCCAGTGCAGTCACAGTAACTCCCGCATCCCAGCAGGAGCCTGTGGGACCCAGAGTGAATCTAATGAAATACTAACTCAACCACCACCCCATTCTTAACAAGTATGACACCAATGGTAGCATCTCACCCCCATGTCACCATACAACCTGTGATGTCACTGTTCCCATCCCACACCTGAAGATCACTGAGTGGTGATTACAAAGTGGTGATGAGTGTAGCTGTCAGACTCCAAGGTCCACTCCCTCTTCTCCATGGCAGCCTGAGGCCTCTACCCTTGACCTGGGGCCACACGCTGGAGACTTCTAGAAACAGGAAATGGGACGTTAGGTGGGAAGATTGGGTTTTGCTTATTTGTTCTGTATTTACTTTTAATCCTCTGCATAGTGCTCCAGAACTGAAACTTGAGAGAAAGCAGGGAAGGAGGGAGAGAGAGAACTCATTGACTCTCCACTCCCAAGTCCAGTTCTGATCCTCTACAAGGTCCCTGCCTGCCCATATAATCCCTGAAGTTACCCCATTTATATACCTTCCAGCCTGTCTCACAACCCAGGGTCTTGTCTTCTTCAGCAGCCACGGGATCCTAACTAGTCTCACTGGACTAGCTAGACTTTTCTTAGCATGAGAACCTTAAGCCTTTCCCCACACATCACTTACCTCCTGCACTGTGGGTCATGCTACTCATTCCCCTTGGAGTGACCCGAATTTTCCTTCTCTGTCCTGAAACACTCCCGACACTCCAGAGCCCACCTAGAAGCCACCTCCTGCAGGAAGTCCTCTAGCGGCAATCCATCCCCTAGATTCTCATGACATTTGTATGCAAGCTATCCTGTGACCTTTCCTAACTCTGCTCAAAGTGATCATTGTTTGTGTGTATTTATTTTTGTCTCCTCAATTCCACCATAAGCTATTTGACATGTGATCAGATCCTACCTTAAGCATACAAGGTCCCTGACTTGGGCACAAATCTAATGAGATGGGGGTTTTTGTTTGTATAGGCGAACCAACTAATCCAGAAAGTCTGTGTCGGCGAGAACAATGTAATAGAAGAAGAGATCAGAGTGAACAGAAGCGTGCATGAGTGGGCAGGAGGAGGAGGAGGAGGGGGTGGAGCCACCTACGTGTTTAAGGTGAGGTCTTCTCTGGAAGATGAAGCAATAGCTTCTGTCCACCATGGTGTTATAGTCCCAGAACAAACATAAATAGGAACCCCTCGGATGTTCTATGTCAAGTTAATGACAAGAAACCATGACCCAGAGGGAGTTCAGGTTTATCTACCCACGAAAGGGTGTCCTGGTGCACTACACATTGCCTTTGCCTTCAGGGCTCCTTGTCCACCCAGGCCAGGCAGACTTTTCCAACACTGTCAAAGCCAGGCTACAGACTGAAAGTGGAGTTTCTTGCTGGATGCTCCCCTTGGAGATGGTGATGCTAAGGACTTATTCTTGAACTTGTGGGAGTCCAAAAGATGATTGAGAGTACAGAAAAAGACAAAGCAAGGCCTGCTTCTGATCACCAGCAACAAGACCTCCAAGGAGCTTCAGGAGAGGCTTGGGGAAAGGTCCAGCCATTTGTAACCTTAGAGATGGGTACCCTAGTGGGCTTGCCTCACTTATTGAACTCCAGCTGATACAGAAACTGATCAGAGAAAGTTACTATAACATCAATTCGGGGCCCTCAAACCGCCACAGGTAGAGAAGTCACCCCACTGTCCTGCAAGCTGTTAAATTTAAACATTTAAACTAGGGCATGGAACCTCCCTAGTGGATGCCTAGCTTGGTCTCTCCATCTCTGAATGTCTCCCCTGGGCAGATGAAAGATGGAGTGCCTGTGCCCCTGATCATTGCAGCCGGCGGTGGTGGCAGGGCCTATGGGGCCAAGACAGACACGTTCCACCCAGAGAGACTGGAGAATAACTCCTCAGTTCTAGGGCTGAATGGCAATTCCGGAGCCGCAGGTAAAGCCACACCCTCTCCCAGAAATCTCTCAGGGACCCTGAAGGAATCATTGTCACTGGACACTGAGTGATGGGAGCTGTTCCCATTGATGCCACTATCAGGGGAAGGTGGCAGGCGTCACCCTGCTGCCTCTAAAGCTATCTTGCTGGCTTGAGGCTTGCTGACTAACCCTATGAAGGCCCAGGACCCCAACCCTGCAGGTACCCAGCAGTTGGCCACATAGACAGTGGACCACAGGTCTGATTAAGAGGAAAACAGTGAAGTGACAGTGTACCTTCAGGAGGTGGCTGCCATACAGTAAGAAGTTCTGTCATCATTCTGCCTGTCCCCAGTATCTTCCAAATACCTACTGGAGTCCACTGCCACCTACTCCTGAGCTAGAGAGGCCTGCCAGGAATCAAGGCACCAGGCACAACAACTGTATAGGCACACGGTGTGACCTAAAAGGTGTCCCCAGTGCCAATGCTACTCCTAGCTTCCACCATGAAGAAGGCCCTGGATCAGGACAAATGGGAGTGCCCACCCCCAGAGCCCACCACATCCTCTTTCCAACTTCTCCAGCTCTATTCTCCTCCAGTCCTGCCAGCTCCTCAGAAAGGCTCTCATTCCTCCCACAGGTGGTGGAGGCGGCTGGAATGATAACACTTCCTTGCTCTGGGCCGGAAAGGCTTTGCTGGAGGGTGCTGCTGGAGGACATTCCTGCCCCCAGGCCATGAAGAAGTGGGGGTGGGAGACAAGAGGGGGTTTCGGAGGGGGTGGAGGGGGGTGCTCCTCAGGTGGAGGAGGCGGAGGATATATAGGTAAAGATGATTCGTGTTCTAGGTGTCACTCTTTCCCCTCTTAGTCCTAGGCTCCTCCCTCCCTGTCACCTTCCTGCCCCCCCCCAGTGTGGACTGTGATGTGACTGCACGCTCCCCTCCCCTCTGCCTGGCTTGGGCCCGCCAGAGGTAGGGTGTTGGCTTCTGAGCCAGCATCCTGCCTCCAGGCTTGGTAGCAACAGCATCAAGATCCTGTGTGATCCTTGATCCCTCGCCCCTTCAAAGCTGAACATAAAAAGTGTTTGGCTTTCCAGATGGCTGCATAAGACACCACAATTACCAGGCAGCCCTGAAGACCAGACTCTTCCAGCCCCTACAGCTCCTCTTGGGGGCCTGGCCAAGCCAGCATAGAAGGGACTGGTCTGTAATTTCTGTGGGCTCCTGGCTTTCCGTTTTCTGCCCAGCCCAACAGCTGCTAGAGAGCAGCACTGTCCATGCGGGTGGGAACTACTCCCAGAAGCCACCTCCGGTAGCTTCATCTCAGTCCTGCAGCAAACTGCCTTGGGAAAGGTTTGCAGCTAAGAGACTGGCAGATGATACCCCACCCTCCCCCAGATTAGGACACACTGCATGCCAGCACCGTGATGTCTGTGTCTGTGTTTCGCTTTGTCGCTGTATGGAAATGCTTGTGCTAACCACACAAGCTTCCCTTCTAAGTTTTGGGTGGATGGGAGGACCCCGGGGCGGGAGGGTGGGGGAGGAAGCCCAGAGATCACCCAGTCCTGGAGGAAAGGAGGGACAGGAGCCTGAAGGCACAGCAGCTCATCTCCCCCAGGCCCCATCTCGACCCCCAAGTGTCCAGAGAGCAATTCCTCCAAGCCGAAAGGATGCACCCCAGCCTCAAGAGACTAGAAACTTCTAGACTCTTGCTTACTTGTGCTACTTAGTACTGGGGCCTCATCAGTATGGTAGAGACTCCCTGGATGATCTGGCCCCAACCTGGCAGGGAAATTGACACACACACACCCAACGTCTTCAGAGCTAAAGCAAAGTGCAGCCTCTGTGCCTGAAAGCTCCCTTCCCTCTCTGCCTCCCTACCCCACAGGCCCCAGATGACCCGTAGCTTTGGCCATACTGCATGCTTGTTGATATGCATGTGTGTTGAGACTTGGGAACCCACCTTTTGGGGTTCAACTCTTCTCTGGTTTGCCACAGGTGGTAACGCAGCATCAAACAATGACCCCGAAATGGATGGGGAAGATGGGGTTTCTTTCATCAGTCCATTGGGTATCCTGTACACCCCGGCCTTAAAAGGTACCCCGTCTACCAGGTGATAACACAACTTAAGGGTTTGCAGCTTCTTCCACCAAGACAAAAATCTGGTCTTTATTGACATGGGGTCAGGACCAAGGTATAGGCTACAGGACACTTTATGACCCAAGTCTTTTTATAGCTCATCTCATTATACTCTGTGGAAGCTGGAGTGTGTGATTGAATGTAGAGGGAGGCAGAATATGGACCACCAGGCAGGCAGGTCCTAGAGAATGACACAAGAGTAGCTAGAACACCAGTACCATCATATGGGTCCTGAATATGGGTCTCTCACACAGAAACAAACATACATCCTCACTCTCAGCTCTGTTCACCAGAGGCCCAAGATGCTTTCCCAAACAGAGTTGTGCTTGAATTGGCAGAGGGACCTGGGACAGGGACCACAGAACCCACAGCAAGCAGCCAGAGATAAAGGCTAAAGTTGGGAGTTGAGGGTACAGGGCGATCGATCTTCGTGCTCATCCTGAAACTGACCCTCCCTCCTTGTCACCAGTGATGGAGGGTCATGGGGAAGTGAATATCAAGCATTATCTAAACTGCAGTCACTGTGAGGTAGACGAATGCCACATGGACCCCGAGAGCCACAAAGTCATCTGCTTCTGTGACCACGGGACCGTGCTGGCTGACGATGGTGTCTCCTGCATTGGTAAGGGGCAGTAATGGGGGATGGGAAGAGGGCCAAAGCTCGAGCCAGCTGAACAAACCCAGCTGTTTTCTGAATGTCTTGTCCCTCTCCTGCTCATGTTCTAGCAACTGAGCAAGGGGACCTTGTATAAAAGGCAGGTCATCACACCTGAAGGGGTCTCAGAATTGCCTATGTCCTTCCCTCAGCCAGGGAACAAAACCTCCAGCATCTTCACCAAGGGGCCAGACATCCTATCTCCACTCAAGTACCCAGCAACAGGGACCATAGCTCTCCTAAGACACCCTCATGTCAAGGAGTTTCAGAGCCAGGCCCTGTGCCTTTGAGCTTCCTGATTATAGTTCCTGACTGGACCCAGCCTTCAGCACACACACTCAATAAGGGTGCTTCTGTCTTTGAGTCTTCTCCACATTCAAGAGCTATTTGGTTTGATCACACAGATAGAGCTCTAAGCCTGCTTTCCATGCTAGAGTCCCTCTTCTACACATGCTCCAAGTCTCCTCTGGGACATGTAGTGTCCCAGCCAGGTCGGGGAGTACAGGCCTGTAATCCCTGTGGAGACAGAAGAATGGAAAGTTCAAGGCCTGTCTGAGCTACAGGGAATTCAAGGCTAGCCCGAGCAACTTAATCAAATCCTGTCTCAAAATAGAAACTACACAAAGTTCTGGAGATATAGCCCAGCAGTAGAGTACTTGCCTGGTATATACTAGACCCTGAGTTCAATCCAAAGGGAGGTGGTGAGTGGAGGAAGGAAAGAGAGGGAAAGATACAAATAAAGAAGAAAGAAACAGAATGGAGAGGAGTGGGGAAAGGATAGGGAAGAGGAAGAAGGGGAGAAGAAAGAGAAAAGTAAAGAGGAACGGGAGAGGAGAGGAGGGGAGGGGAGGGGAGGGGAGAGGAGGGGAGGGGAGAGGAGAGGAGAGGAGAGGGGAGGACAGGAGAGGACAGGAGAGGACAGGAGAGGACAGGAGAGGACAGGAGAGGACAGGAGAGGAGAGGAGAGGACAGGAGAGGAGAGGACAGGAGAGGAGAGGGAGTGTGATGCCAACCTAAGCTGTGCACCAGAATAGTGTCTCAAAACAAAAATAGAAAAAGATGAATGTCTTCACAGACCAGTTGCTTGCTTTTAGCCAGGAATAATGACTGAGCATTTGGCACACCATGGAAGTCATGGATTTCACGAATGAGTAGCTGTAGTTTGTGGGCAGCTTGAGAGACTAAGTCAGGTGTGAGAAATGGCAAGTCACTGAGATCACCTGGAATGCAGGTGCATGAGGA